GAGGGGAAGGGAGGAAGAGAGAAATCCGTTTAGGAGTAAAAACTTGGTTGATATGGCGAGCATTTTAGCTGGCGAGAGTAGGAATGAGTGGGCATTAGGATTAACTGAAAGATGCTAAAGTAGGCTCGAAAAATTGCGAGTTTGTCAAAGAATCGTTAAATTTTCGCCAGTAGCGGAAACCAAGCGAAGAATGCTGTTTTAGTGAGAGAGTATCAAGTTTGATATGTTATATGTCTGTGTGTATGTGTGTGTATGAATGTGTGTGTGTGCGTGTGTGGAGGTGTGTGTGGAGGTGTGTGTGGTTGTGCCTGCTTGTGTATGTGCATATGAGTTTGTGTGTGTGTTTTGCCTGTTTCTAATTTGAATTGCTTAAACACTGCAGTGGTCAATTAGCCCAGTAAGAGATTTGATACCACTGATAACTAAGAAAAATGAGAGTACGAGATCCAGTTATGGTAAAGGTAAGAAATGTATACGACTTAATGGACCGAAACATTTCTTGCCTACTTTAATAATTCTTTTCATGTTTTCCATCATTTTTTCTTATATTTTCTCTTTAACCTTAAATAACTGATGAACAAAGCGAATTATTGAATAGTTCCCAAGCGTTGTTAAATGAACGCTAGTAAGGTTTGAGGTAGATAGATCCAATTTTCAAAGATGCCTCTGTAGTTCTTTTTTTTTTCGGTATTTTCGGTACTTATTTGGGTACTTTAGTTAGCTATTGTATCATTATCACGTTCCTTTTCGCCGCTCATGCAACTAACAGCTTTTCAGTTCTTTTTGATTGTAAATTCGCTGTATCCACATTGAAAGCCTATACGCCGTACAAGCTTTCAACCTGATTTTGCCGTCTCACGATATCCTTCTCTCCTGTACTTCAACATCGCTTGGATACCATTTAGCAAGAATCAGTTTCGCCGTCAGATTCCCATCCCTGTATTTGTAGGAGATGTGAAAGGGAGTTTGTAAGAGATATGATAAATAGCAGCGCGCACCAGACTAGCCAGTGCGATCATGCGTTTTGTGCAATTCAGCCTATCGAACGATTGTCTCTTAATGATTTTCACTGCTTTGTACTTTCTTCTATGCAAAAATAGTTCAAAAATTGGAAAATAGTTAAAAATTTCACGCACCAGCACATGAAAGCTGAATTCGAAACCTTGAAGGGTGAATATCTTTCCGTGATTCCCTAGTTAATAGTTTAGCCGCCAAAACCTTCTCACGAGGCTGTAGGTGATACTCAACAGCAAGGAAACGCTGAATTTGAATAGGCAAGGTCGAGCGTGAGCAGGGAGTTATTACTG